TATACATAAAACTCACATCTTATAATCAAAGTATCCTCTCTCTGTTGACAGGGGCCATACTTTAGACATTAATAAGATCAGGTATCCATTCAGCACTCTTTCCTAAATCATTTTGCCCAAATGAGAATTTATAAGTGAGTTTTGTCCTCCTTCATGAACAATTTTCCAGAATCAAAACGAGTTATGAGTTAAAACTTAATTCCTTTAAACAGATTTTGTGTTTCATGTTTCAAAATGATAAGGACAATCTGAGTCTATATTCTAGAACAGCAATTAATCCAAAATAAAAAATGGTAGCTAATAACCTATTTCATAAATCTGAGCTTTATCTTTTTTTAAAACACATCTTGTAAGGAGGGAATGAGAACGACTGGCCTGATGATTTGTTGCTTACAAACATGCTCTGTCTTCACCATGGAAAATATTAGCAATACAGCAGCTGGTCTTTGATATTTTCTTAATATATATTAGACTATGGACCCCCATAACCCCACAAATAAAAAAAAAAGCTGAACTCAAAAGTTTAAGTCAGAGAAAAAATGTTATATATAGAATATTCTGTCAGCTATATTATTGGGAAGTGATGAAGATGGATTAAGAGAATAATAAAAAATAGAAGTAGCTAAGACCCAGGATCAGCTTTTAATGACTTCATATTGCTCCAGTAAAAGAGGCTTTTATGTTTTATTGTCCAAAAGTAGTAACTCCTAAATAATTCTGTTTAAATATTTAAAAAATCACTCATTTCTATTTTAAGTTTATCCCAGAAGAGATATGATATATACATTCTCAGATTCAAATCCATATTTAGTCAAAAATTTTAAAAACTTATTTTTATAATGATGTACAATATGATCCAATGGCATCATGCAATTCATTAGCAGACATTTTTGTATGTTGTATAGCTGTAGAATCAGAAATATGTTTTCTATTAAAGGATGCTTTAACTTCCGGCTTCTTGAATAAAATCTTGATTGTCTTCCAAAAAAGTTCTACAAATTTTCTGAACTACTTCTTTTCAATGTTTAACACTTAAATACTAAAAAATGTTTTCCTTTTAATACTCCTCTGTCCCTAAAGTTATTCTTCAGTTTATGCCTACGTTAGGTTTGTGAAAATGAAGTACATATTGGCATCAGTTTTACAGTTCTTTATCTATTAATTTTTGTTTTCTCTTCTTGAATTTGATCTATTTATTTGTTTTAACTTTATCCTAATAACTTTGATTGTTCTAACATACTTCTAAATTCACCCTAAATTTTTGTTATTTAATTTGATTATTCCATAATACTTGTTTCTTCTTAAAGTTAGGATAAATGGAAATATTATATTCTTAAGATCCTGTGTATTTCTTTTTTTATAAACTATCATTCTGAGATGAATTATTTATTTTCATTTATTAATAGGCCCTTTGATCTCTATGTGTGAAGAGCAAACTATCCAAGGAGCTAAAGCTTTGGGAGAGAATTGTCATGTGCACAGAAATTGACTAGGATCACAAAACATTTTTTAAGAAAAGTCAAAGACCCAGTGAAGGAGGTGGTTATTCTTTATAAAAGTGCTACCCTGAGAAATCAAAAGTCACTTATCAAAAATGAGGATATATGAGAAAGATTATTAGAAGGACAAATAGTTGAGAGAGGTGTCACTTGAGGATGGTGAGTGAAGGCATGGTTGAACTGACTATAGGACACAGCTTGGACATGAAAGGAAGGGGAGCCAGGAGTGACTTGGGAACTGGGAGACTGTACTAAGGAGGAGGCAACCATGAGAACAGGATGAGAGTAAAGAGAACTCATAAAGTGGAATTTCTTAGATATGAAGCATAGTGAAGATCTGTAAATTGCAGTGGAGGTGGAGGAGTGAGGTTGTAAAGAATGCCAGGAGATGGGGCAAGAGTTGTGGAAGGAGTATTCACATGAATGAGCACCTGGAAATGACTGAGAGTGATGCACGGAATTTGGATTGTGATAAACCCACGCCATGTGCCAAGGTCATGAGATTTAGCATATGATACTGAAGAGAACAGTTATAGATTGGCATAACTAGATGGCAAGAACACCATGCAAACTTAGATTGCTTTTTAATGGGTTTCCTCTAGATATTAATCATATAGAGTCTATAGGTAATTGTGTTAAAGCTAGATCTAATATGGTATTCTTAGAGGAAGAGTCAATATTTTCCTTAACTCTGCAGCCCTTGTGTCCAGCAGAGAAAGTCACTAACACAATGCCACATAATAGGAATGCAGTAAATACTTACTCAATGATTCCCTGAAATTCCACATTCAACCCACAGGAGTCCATTAAACTGTATCATTTTTCTATATCATGAACAAAAGACTGCTTAACACTTTTTTAAACTACAAATCTTAATTGCTATAAAATTGGGAATTTTAAGACACTCAAGCCTTCTTTCCAAAGCACAAAAACTAGTTGCATTTTGATATTTTTTCTTCATTCATGAATTCAGCAGATACTCATTGAACAAGTATGTGCCAGGCACTGTTCCATACATTGGGAAAAACAGCAGAGGAAAAGGCAAACAAGGCCTTAACTCAAGGAGCTTAATTCTAGTGGGGGAAACACAAACAGTCAGTATATAAAAATATATATGCTAATTTTAGTTAGGAGGAAAGAAATTAAAACAAGACATAGGATAGTAGTTCTGGGGCACAGCTCTTTTATATAAAAGACAGTCAAAGAACACTCTCTGGCAAGGTGAAATTAACTAGGAGCTACTGGGTAAGGAGCCAGCTATGTGAAGATTGGGAGGTAGTCCAGATAAACAGGTGGTTTACAGGGCCTAACGCAAGATCAAGTTTAGCAGAGGACATAAACAAGATCAATATGTCTGTCCTGGATTCTAGTGAGAAAGCTGTAGCTTTCCCAAATTCTTCTGTGTTTTAGCATGAGGATGATCACAGTGTTTATTCAATTTTCAAGGACCAGTAGTGGTTAAGAATAGACTTAGAAGTGACTCTACTTGAATTTAAATTCTGGCCTTTTCTTTTGTAGCTGTGTTACCTTGGGAAAGTTCTGCCATGCCAGAACCATTCTGGCATACTTTCTTACCTAACTACAATGGTGATAATAATAATAGCCATCTCAGTTGTTAATAATTTGTACTAATAATAATGACCTTAACAATTGTAAGAATTAAATGAATTCCTAGATGAAAGGCCTAAGGAAAAGGCTTGGCATATTAAAAATGCCTCTTATTTGAAATAATTTGGTCTCCCCCCCCCCACTATATTATATGGGAAAGATAAGCTCTTTTGTCTGGTTTTTCTTTGTTTGTTTGTTTTGGCACTGGGAATCAAACCCAGGGACAGTTAACCACTGAGCTACATCACCAGCCCTCAGTTGCTGAGGGTCTTGCTATATCTTATACTCTTAATGGTTATTTTTGTTGGTTTGGATTATCCTATAATTCAATAAACTCTACAAGAAGCATTTGATTTTAAACATTTATTTTACCAGAAATCCCTTGGCAATAATTATCATTATCATTTTGGGGATCATTCATAATAGTGGTCACCTGGTGGCAGAAGATGAGTGAACCAATAAAAATCTGTCACAATTTGAAATATCTTTAAGGGATATGTCTTATTTTGTTGGTTTTTTCATGAGGTTCCTATTAAATAACATGGAAATAATATGCTATCAACTCTGTCTTGCCAGCTGAATTTATTCTGAAGGAATGATACACTGGGATTTATGATATTTCTTCAAAAACTGATTGAGTTGCCCAAAACTAAAATCTCACAATTTACTATAAAAATGGATCTTTCAGCTTTTTCTGAAAAAAAAAACTTGTTTCTTTAAATTGATAAAATTGGACACAGTGACTATAAGGAAACAATTATGGATAGATAATTTATTTTAATATTTTATAATTTTATTCATAATTTCATGTTTTAACCTGAAGTTCCTGCCATTGAAAATACTGCCTAAAGTATTATAAGCTTTGTATGCTAAGATTTTAATATAGTCTATGGAAAAATACTTGAGGAAAGAAAGTTACTGAACTCATCTATAGAGAAACCTAGAGTGAAACTATGAAAATAGTTGAAAAGTCTTTCAAATGTGACATGTCTTTGAAAAAATAATGAAAAAACTTGCTATGTTGTATGAATTTAATGTTTTCTAATTGTTATGCACTTGAATCAGATTAAAATGAAAATATTTTGGCAAACAGAATTAATATTTCTATTAATGGACTATTAAGAATTATTGAAATAAAACAACTTTTAAGTAGTATCCACATTGTTACCATGTAACTAGAAGCACACACACTATAATCTATTTGGTCTAAACTAAATTTATTAGATAAAAGTATACATATACTCATGTGCATAGTCTTTAGTCTTCCAAGTCAAAAAGTGAACTCATAAAAGGCACATAGTTGACACTTAATAAATACTTGTTGGATTTGTTAGCATACGAAACACAAACCTACAAAAGGCAAACCTACAAAAGGATTTTGAGATTTATTAATGCACCTGATCTGTTTTCTAGATGATGTAGCTAAATCCCAAGTAACTTTGTTAAAGTCACAAAGCTAAATCTCTGTGTGGGGTTTCCATTACATTATGATTTACTAACTTTATGTTTCCTCTTAGGTCTAAGTATATAACTTTATATGCTTTTACATTGCATTAGCTATTGAATAGCAACATTCATTCTTAAGGAAACATTTTAAAGCTTGCATTTCTTTAGGATTACTAAATAACATCAGAAAACAACATTTTATGTATTTGTTTTTGTCATTATCTACAACTAATGAAATTTTAAAATGGACTTTGAAGTTTAGAGAGTTAAAATTATGAAGTCTCTCTCCATCCCAAATCTTATAAATTGGGTTTCTCCTAGAAGAAAAAATAGATAGGCTTTTTAATCATAAATATGTATAGCTTCTAACTCAATAAACTCTTATTTTCTCTGACATGCATCTCCAATGATGTGTGCTTTTTATTCTTATTTCATTTTTATTTACAGAAAAGTGGGCACAAACCAGAAAGTGTGGATTTGTGTGGAGCACATATTGAATGGGCCAAAGAAAAATCAAGCAGAAAGAATGTCTTTCAGGTAAGAATGTTACATATATTCAATTTATTCCTATTCCTTCTAAATCTGATGTCTCTTGGGTAATCAAAATCAGACTACCTTCTTGTGATGTTTTCATGTGCATGAACTAGTTGTCTGAAGGTCATTATGAAAGACTGACTTCTCTTCCTTGTTGAATCTTTGGTTTGTTTTTTGTTTTTCCCTGGTGGCTGGTTGCTATCTAAACACAAAATACATGTTGCATGTTGATTTTGATTAGCTTTACACATAGGTCATTGAATTTTGAAATGAATTTGATAGCTGTTTGGAATTCCAACCTAGAATGCTTTACTTAAATAGATATATTGTCAAATTTTCAAATGTACATAAATGAAGATTCACTAATTACAAACTATTTTGATTCATTGTCATAACTGTCTTCTGGTCATTAATTACATTCACCAGTGTAAGTAGTAAGGATGAAGAGAGCTGAACAGCTATGAAAATTATATCATTTTACATTGCATAAAGTTTTTGGAAAAAAACCACTGTGGTTAATAATTATAATTATATTCCATTCAATGGAAAGAATCAGATGAAATCCTTGAAAGAGAAGAAATTGGTAATTTTTTCACATATGTTACCAAACTACATCATATGGCATGGTTTTCTTTGGCAATTAATAATTTTAGAATATAGAGGTTGATATTTTTTACACTTTTAAATGAAATTTAACTTTTATATTTCTAAAATAACCCATAACTTTATAAGCATATTTCACATTTTATATCATTTAGCAGCCAATGGAGCCAGATTATTGCAATTTTTCATAATGTATCTTTTAACAACAATCAGGTTCTTGAAGAAAAGTAAATTCTTCTGTTCTTAAATTTTGTGGTGAGATTAATATATGGAGTCTTATAGTATGTATCTTATAGATAGGTGAAATTTGATACCTACATTCTTACTAGAGGGGGAAAATGCTCTTTTCCAGTATAGGCTGCTTTTTCCAAATAGTAATTCTGGTATGGCCAAATAATTTGGGACCATTTAGATTTTTAAAAGAAACCAACAATTTTTGTCATATTCTGGAATATTTGTTTGGTTCTAGTTTTATTCTACTTAGGTGAAGAGATATTTTATTACCAAAAAGAAATGAAATTGAGAGAATATATACAATTAATATTTTTTAATAAAAATAAAATTTAAAAGACAGGAGGAAAGAGGAAAGGCAAGAAGGCAGGCACACTATCTGGACAGCCCAACACACCCAGAAATCAATGGTCTAATCCCAAGAGTGATGAAAAAGTGTTTTGTGAGATTAAAATAGGAGAAATAAATTTGCTTTAAAGTGAGCAGTGGTATATCAGTGATATATTCTTTCTCCACTCTTGCTCTTTTTGTTAATCTGCTATAAATAATAATTTTGAAGATTATAATCATAATCTGTATAACAACCTAGAGAATCAGGTATGCTAAATGTTGTAGTCTTCATAAGTATTGTGATTTTAGCATCCTCATCACCATAGTTGTAAAAGAAATACATTAAATTCAAATTTATGAACATAAATCTTGAATGATAGAAACTTTTGAAAATGGGCTAAACTATCCTGTCGACCTTGTGAATGGTCATGATTGATGTTGACAGTCATCTATACATCATGTATACAGGGCTACAAGAAGAAAAAGGTTTATGGGTATAGTAAGCATAGTTATACAATAAAATTGCTTATACTAGTGGAATATAAAGTCATAAGATTTCATGAATATCACTAAATATCTCAATTTGTAATTTTCCTCACTTTCCACATTTCTAAATATAGATACTTCAAAAAAATTTAAATTATTCTCATTTTTTGTAACTTTTGGGGAATAAAAATCTCAGTAGCTAGCATTGTTTGTAGTGTAATTGAACCATTCATGGGACCTCGGTGATTATATGCATATGGTCTTAGATCCTTTGGAGAAACAAGAGAATGAGCAAAGCTTAAAAATGATTCAAGTTTTGTTTTCTGCTTTATTCTTTATGGATGAATCATTAGGTTTCTGGTAATGCTAAAATCTTTCATCACCAAAATGTACGAACTTAGGTATAATTTACTAGTATGTATCTATAGATACAAGCTATGAGAGTAAGCCTTTCAGAGGAACAATATAAACAGCTTTTGTAGTTCTGTTAACAAAAAAGCATCGGGAAGAATTTGCCAGAGAGCTAAATCTAGATGACTTACATCAATATTTGATTAGATACATTAGCTGGTCTAACTCTCAAATGATCAGAATAAACACGATTATATCTCAAAAACATGGTATTAAGGCATTGTTGGATGTTGAAGTGTGTGTGTGCAGGGGTTTCATTACCTTAAGAATAATGAAGTATTTCTTCCTGACAAAAAGACCATCAGAGCTTCAGCTGATGCGCTACATCAGAAATAGCTTTAAAATTCCAAGTTTGAATTAGGCTTAGTGTTCAATCTCAGTCTATGAATTATAGATTACAGATAGCAAATGACTATTGAGATTTTTAGTTCAAGAAAAATCAAAGAAGTGCAAAATTAGAAATAATTTAAAATTTGAAATCTGTCTTTAAAAAGGTGATGGATTAGCAATTATATGCCACATAATTACAGTGTCTGCAGAGAAGTCCAACTTAAAATGAATACAAAAACAAACAAAAAATTGCGAGTGCCTGAGATAATTGAAAGCCACATGGGCACACAGTTGTCTCAAATACACACACACACACATAAACACACACACACACACATACACACACATGTTGGAAGATTTCACTAGCTTCATTTGTTTCTATATGCTGCTTGGATATTTGTTCATTTTTTTCTTTGTATTAAAGGCTATATTTCCTTCATAGTCAAAGTCCTATCAAACTCATTGTGTGAATTCAGCCTTATTTGATTGGCACATGTTGACATTACAGTGACAACATTAATGACTAGGCTTTAGTATTTAAGAACTTTTGGTCAATCAAATCAAAATGTTGCTCTTTTGCTGAATTCAAGAACACCTACCTACTTTGTAACAGAACCATCTTTGATCCAATTGATAATACTTAATAAAAAGTGATGTATTTTTAAAATTACTGTTAACTTCTGTACAAAGGAATATATAGTAATGTTATAACATGTTAAAATAAGTATGTGTAAAAATATATATATTTTGTGTATAATGTATGTGTGTATGTGTATACATGCATCTAATACTTGAGTTTAGTAAAGTGAGCATTTATGTACACACACATACACACACACACACACATACACACATACACATGCACAAACACAGAAAGATACTTTGTGTTATAAATTCCACACAAATTCTAAGTCAAATTAGTAAATGTTCATTGCTGCTAACTTTTGCTTAATTCTGCAGAAAGCATAACTGTCAAGGACCATCACAAATTTGTTTTTGCTTGATAAAACATTTAGCAACCAAGTGATTTGTAATGAACTGTGGTATAAGTTTTCTCAGTGAACTTAAGAGCAACACTAGGTCTTCATCAGGAAAGAAGTGAATAAAAAGATTTATGTTCAAATCACATGCTTTAAACATTCTTCCTAAGTGCTAGTTTGCTCTTTGGTGTTTAGCCTGAAATTTAAAGCACTAAGGATTAAAAGGATTACAACATAATCTTAAATAATCCTAAATGTCATTTACACAGAGAGAGTTGTAATAACTAAATAAAACCATGTTGAAGGATGGCAGTACTCTCAGGCAGCATCCTTGACACAAACAGTGCTTCTTCCATCTTCTTTCTCTTTACTGGGCACATTAGGCTTCCAAAGCCTTTTCATAGGAAATTCATTTGAGAACATGACTGAAAAATGGTTTAAAACAATACAGAATTTTTTTAGTTTTTTTTAATATCTTTCCGGTTCAAAGTTGAAAGAAAATGTTTACTTATATTGTTTCTTATATTTCCTTTCTTCCTTCAAAAGTCTAGGAAAAGGAACTTCCTGACATGGTTATCAAATAGATGATATGCCTCTTACACAGTCCCCAATCTCCAAGGGAGTACCCCTTTACTAAATATACGAGAGTTCTAATGCAGTGTAATTAATTCCATGCTGTTTAATTTAGCACTTAAATATTCTTTATTCTGTCATGTAAATTAGTTTTGCCTCCCAAAGAAAATATGAAGAAAAACTATATCAAATACTGCCCTACACTTACTATACTAGAAGATTGGACATATTTTAACTGATTAAACTATTACTTTTTAAGGCTAAAGTTGCATTCATTCAGGAAAAACGATTTCTTTCATGAAATATTTAGGATAGTTTGTCCACAATACAGACCTTGTAGTAAAAGATTCCCAAGGTTGAAACAGGAATATAGAACATGAAGATATTGGTACTTTTCATTATAAGGTATAAGAGAGTAGCTAGCCATTTATTCATTTAAATGGTTCATTTATTTGTACTCTAAAGTCTTATCTTTTCTCAAGGCAGTCAGTGACTAGGCCTCAGATTTTTATTTACATTTAAAATAATATTTAATAAAATTTTACTTTTGAATATGCGTTGGACTCCTCTATAGATTCATGCATTCATTCATTCATTATCAAATAAGATAATTCTATAAATTAATGAATCATGGCTGATAAGGAATATGTCAATTGTTTACTTGAAAGGCAGAAAAAAATTAAATGACTAGAATAGATAAGTCTATTCATCTTTCCCAATAATCAATTTATAACCTCAACAAATATCATGGTCGAATTTCCCAGTTGAGATTCTTTTTTTAATACTTTAATACCTCTCAGGAGACAGATTCTTTCCTCTACAAGTAAAGTAGTCCTCAGAACAGGTTTATCATTACTTGGATTACTTTTCTGAGTTTGGATGAAGTCTTCTGGCTATAATGTATATTAAACATATTCATGTAATATTTTCCATGGATATGCATTACATTTAAAAATAATTTGATTGCTCTTCCTGATCCGAATATGTCTTAGCTTAAAATGTTTAAGTACTACTTAAGTTTATTAATGCGAAGATAATTTAATAACATCTTGGAAAATA